GAGGGAAAAGGAAGGGAGGAGAGAAAGAAGGAACAACAAGGTTAGTCAAGTGAGCCAACTGCAAACACAGAGGGGCATTGCAGGGGGTTGGGAAGCACAGAAACCATTCCAGGGCAGCATCCATCCCATCAGACACAGCCCAGCCAGAGGCTCTGAAGAGCTGGGGAGGAGTGACTGCCCCAGAGCAGCTCTGGCCTGGCAGGAAGAGCGACCTGAGTTCCCCAGGGCCAGCAGCAGCAGGAGAGTCACATCTCCCAGCACAGCCCTCATGTCCCTCCTGTTTCCAGCACTCCCTACAGTGCTCCTTGGCCACTCCTACACACTCACCTTCCACGGGGACCTCTCCTTTGTCACCTGGAGCACTTTGTGACAGCCCCTCACTAAAACCCACACACTGTGCTTTGGGCACTGACCCAGTAATGGCCAGTGCTGCATGGGGGGGTTTGATCTTTTGATTTGACCTTTGGTGACACAGAAGGGACATGGACATGGTGTCAGTGCATTTCCAGACCCTTCACCGACAGCCAAACACCTTAAATCAGTTCTTCCAGGACCTAAACCCTGGAGACAGTAGAAGATACAAACTGAAACCCCAGCACAAGCCAGTGATGCTGCATGAGATCCCACCCAGGGACTCTGCTGTTCAGCTCCAGACACCCTAGAGGGAAACAGCTCATTCCTTGAGACCCCAAATCCTCCACAAACAGATCCACAACCCTGGAGCCACCCCAAGAAGTACCAGCTCCCCCTTCTCCTACAGCTGGGAACAGCCAGTAGCTCTTTGCTGTAGAGTGAGTCCAAGGTGATGCCAGAGGAGCCCCTGGGCAGGCTGAGATCCAGCACCAAGGTAGGATAGGAGGGTGCCATGGATACCCCCATATCACATGGATTTGCTCCCCAAACCCTGCACTGGGATGGTTCCCATCCCATCCCATCCCCACTCCTGCAGCAGGACAGGGCTGGGCTGTGCTTGGTCCCAGGAATGGTACCCAGGGATGTCACCCATGGGTGCTTCCTGAAGGGTTCCAGCCTTGGAAGCAGCCCAGCAGGCTGTGGGACATGGAACATCCCTTGGCTTTAACTCAGGGAGGTGTGGTCTAGAGAACACACCTGGCCTTGCTCCAGGTCTGCCTTCCCCCAGGACTTCAGAAGCTTCAGAGAAGCTCCAACACCCATTCAGGATGGTCCTGAGGGTTACTGGTTCCAGTTTGCCACTCATCCAAGGGCTATGGACCCTCTTCTAGGGGAGCAGAGCTGGGAAGATGGGATATCCCCCAGAACCACTCAGGCACAGCAAAGCCAAACCTTCCCCTGCTCTGCCACAGCAGGACAGCGAATGTGGGGACCCCCAAACCCAAGTGTGAGTCCAGAGCAGCCCGGGATTCCTCTGGCCCTGCCTCCCCCCAGCCGTGGGACTCACCTGGGACATCATGGGGCTGCTCATGGCCGGCTGCTGCTGGGCTGGGGGGAGCCCGGGGGCCTGCGGGGGCGGCTGTGGGGCCGTGCAGGGCAGGAGGCCACGGCTGGGCTGCGAGGATGGGGACTGGCTGCAGGCCTCGGGGGCACCTAGCACCAAACCTGCAACAGAGAGAGCCATGCAGGGGCTGGGATCCAGGAGAAAACAGCGTGAAGGAATCGTGTCCCCACTGGAGCTTGCACGGGGACAAACAGGCAGGGTTTGTCTCTGCTCACAAGGTGCTGACACTGCAGTGGGTTGTACCCCCTCCTGTCCATGGCCAGGGGCACACACTGAGCCTCCAAAGCTGATCCTGGCATCTCCTCCTCTGCCCCACATGCAGGGAAGAGGAGTCTGGCTGCCAACAGCAGCACCTGCCTGCTGCAGGCTCTTCACCCAGAACCAGGGAGCTGCCAGGTACATCTGGGTCAGCTCAGGACCGCGAGGGGCTGTGGGAAGGAGCTGCAGGGTTGTTCCCAGTCCCAGCTCAGGACACCAACACTGTCATGACCTGTCCCAAGCAGAGGGAGTGGGAGATCCCATTCCACAGCCTTACAGAGCCTCTTTTCTCCCAGGAAAAGGCTGGGAGATGGCAGGGTTAGAAAAGCAAAGGGCTGAAAGCAATCCCTTGCCATGGCAGAAAAAGCTGAGAAGGAGCACGATCCACACTGCTGGCACCCAGCTGGGAAGTGTCTCCTCAATATTCTGGTCTTACTTTCAGAAATAAAAGGGTTGTGCAAGTATTGCTCAATGCCCAGTAGCTGCTGTTTAACCAATTCTGCCTCTGATCTCCCACATTTCCACAGCTGATCTCCAGGGATTCTGCTGAGGAGCTCTGTCAGCAGCCTCACTCTGCCAAGGAGGGAATATTCCACTGCCAGCTGCTCAGGGACTGGATGGGAAAAGAGCCCCTGAGTCCCAAGCACTTCCACCCCCATGGAATAAACATGAGGATATGGAAGAAGGTGGGCTTGGTGTTTTTCCCCCTCAAGTGACAATTCCTTTGCAATTTTTCTTCCCTTTCTCCCAAGATGTTTCTAATCACTTGCCATTACATAAAGCCTGGAAAGGAACTGTTCTGATCCCAGGGGGCACCTGGAGGGAAAATTACAGGAAGAGTCAAGAGGCAGCTTCTCTCTCACTCTGCTCAGCACATGCTGGGACAGATCTTCAAGTGCTCCCAGCACTCCATGAATCAGTCCTGGAGGTGGCTGCAACTCCCAGAGTGAGCACAGGGCTGGGGATGGGAACAGGATCCCAGGAGGCACCGTGGGCACCTCTGAACTGGGAGATGAAGGTGTGGTGTCAAAGCCAGGCTGGGTGCTGGGATCCAGCCCTGGAAGGATTCTTGTTCTTACCTACAAGCACCAATCTGCCTCTCCTGCCCATAAAATGGTGATTCCCAAGGGTTTGGGACCTGCTGCTGACCAGTGGGATAACACCAGGTTCTGCTCAGACACCACACAGGATTACATGGGACCAAAACCTGGGCTGCCTCCCCCACAAACACCGTCCAGGTGTTTCAACCAAGCAGCTGGCTGAAAATCCAGGATCCTGCTCCTCCCTGACTGCGGGGAGGTGTCCTGGATGTGCCCACCCAGCACTCACATCCCTTAGGAAGCTGCTGCCAGAACAGGCCACCAGTGACACCCCAGGGGAATGTCCCCTGCGCTCTGTGGTACCTGGATGGACAAGGAAGGACTGAGCTGAAGCAGCAGAGACACTTGGGTTCCTAATTCCCTTTGGCTTCAGCCAAATTCCCCTTGGCTCCCAGCAGCTCTGGAACTCAAGCCTGCTGTTTACTCCCAGGAGTTCAGTGAATCACTGAGAGTGAACATCGTGGGCAGATCCCAATTACAGAGTCTTTGACAAGGTAACTGCATGTCTGATGAGACTAATGGCTGACACTTTTCCTGGCCCTCCTCCTTGGAAAGCAAGGCACAGAGCCAGGAGGTTCATCCTGAGGATCCTCAGGGTTGGGAGAGATTTTGGGAGCAGAAGGGAATGGCAACACAACTTGGGGCACAGCAGAGGAGAGAAAACAACACAAACTGGGACTCTGAGCTGCAGGAGCTGGGAGCAAACTCTGTCCTTTGCCCCAGGTAACTCTGCTGAAGGGATGGGAGAGCTGATGCTGAGTTCTGAGGAAGTGGGTGATGAACCAAGTGGCACAATCAGATGGCACATCCACACCAGGGTACCGAGATCCTGGTGCCACCCATGCCCTGTTTTAACCAGAGCATCACAAGCCTCAGTTCCCCAACCCAAAACCTGTCAGTCAGGTGCCCTTTGGCAGGGAAAGAGCTCCAGTTCCCCAACCCAAACCCTGTCAGGTGCCCTTTGACAGGGAAAGAGCTCCAGTTCCCCAACCCAAACCCTGTCAGGTCCCCTTTGACAGGGAAAGAGCTCCAGTTCCCCAACCCAAACCCTGTCAGGTGCCCTTTGACAGGGAAAGAGCTCCAGTTCCCCAACCCAAACCCTGTCAGGTGCCCTTTGACAGGGAAAGAGCTCCAGTTCCTCACTCCAAACCCTCCCAGGTGCCCTTTGGCACCTGTCTGGGAGCAGCTCTGTACCTGCCCGTGAGGTCCTGCTGGCAGAGCTGCCCTTGCTGCTCCCGATGCTGTCCCCCCTGGTGAGGATGGAGATGCCACTGAAGCTGCTGGCTTTGGTGACAGGTGGCCTCAGGCTGCGGATGGAGCCATCAGAGTCCGTGCTGCTCCAGGGCCGCGGCTCCAGGGATTTGATGTCGCTCTCGGTGCTGCTCTGGCGGCTGCCAGAGGCTCTGCTCAGCCCCTCCCTGGTGCCCCTGCAGAGACCACAGGAGTCAAACTGGGCTCCAGTGAAGGGACAGTGGCAGAAATGCTGGTGCTGTACCAGTACACCCAGTACAGGGTGGGGAAGATAGGTTGAAAGGTTCCCAGTGGGGACTGTGGGAAGATAGGCTGAAAGGATGGCACAGAGGGCAATCTCTCCTCATCTGTGGGAATCCTTAAAATCAGAGGACTTGGGGAAAGCTGCAAAAAGCAGGCCTCAGAAACAGCAAAACTGCTGTTATTAAATTAAAACTAACCAGTAGCCATAAGATTTGTCAGCAGAAAAGTTATATGATCTGTAGAAAGCAAGGACAAATAGAACAATGGTCTGTGTATTAAAGCTTGGCTAGAATAACCCCCTAAGCTGCAGAAAAGTATATCTAGTAAGATATAAAAAAGTTCTAAGCTTAATAATGAATCTCTGTGCATTGTATTTTAAATCTTACATGCAGGTATTGTATTCAAAATAAGCAAGCATTGTTTTAACCAAAAGTACAGTGGTTGGATAAAACTACTGCCAATATGTTTTTGCTTTCTGTGATTGGTCAAAAAACTTTCAAAGTGAGTTGTAACATCATGTTCTGCAGCTGGTGCTGAGGACATGAGCTGCTGGCATCTTCCCAATGTCCCAACCATGTAAATGAAACTGATACTTCAAAAATAAAGCAGCTCAAAGCATGTTCCACAGCAGTCCCATCCCGTTCATAATTCTGTACATAAACCCACAGCCAGCATTAAAGATGAATTACTGAGGAGTGGAAACATCCTCAGTGCCTGCCCAATGAATTTGGGTGTTATAAAAGAGTGGGGTAGCTGGCCACTGACTGCAGTTAGAGCTCGAGACCCAGAGCGTGCTGCAGTTTGGGATGGAGGCTGCTGGCTGTGCTGTGAGGAGGAAGGGACAGGTGGCCATGCAAGGGACAGATATGGTGAGAAGATGTGTGAGGGACAGACAGGGTCAGGCAGCAGGGAAAGGGACAGGCTGGGCTTGAGCTGCTTATGCAGAGTGGAGATGAGGAGTCAGAGTTGTCAGAAAGAAGTTCACTGAAAAGAAAGCATGAAAAGTTTCATAATAAAGGACTGGTGGTGATGCCAGTCTCGATATAATAATTGCAACAGGGGACATTCAGCAGCTGAGTTTGGGATCCTTTTAGGGGGAGTCTGACAGCAAAAATCTCCCCAAGGCACAGGTTTTTGTGGTGGCCCAGCCACTGTGGTGACAGCCAGCTCCTGGCCCCTTCCTCAGCCTGGAAAAGACCCCAGCAGGGTCAGAAAAAGATCCTGTGCTGGACCTCCCCATCTCAGAACAGGGAGCTTTTAAAGGCCTGGAGACAAGGCTGATGGAGACCTTGGAGACCAATTCCCACTCCAGCCCTGCTGAGGATTTCTGCCTGTTTGCCCAAAGTTGTGGCTGTCCCACCCCTGGAGGAGTCCAAGGCCAGGGTTAGACAGGGCTTGGAGCAAACTGGGATAGTGGAAAGTCTCTGTCCAAGACAGGGAGGTGGAAAGGGATGAGTTTTTAAAATCCCTTGCAACCCAAACCATTCCAGGATTCTGGGCTATCACCACCCCCAGAGCTGAGCCCTCACTGACCCCCCTCCCTTAGCCCAGGCCAGCTCTGGCCACAGCAGGATTTTATGGGATATCAGCACATCACCCCAGCTGGGAATGGGCACCCAGGCTTTCCCTGGGGAGGGATGGAGAGGAAGAGCTGCTGAGCCTGGCTCAGAGAAAGAGGCTTGGAAGGAACTCCTGAGGTGATGTCCTGGGATGCTGGGAGTGTGTGAGAGCCAAAAATGCATCTCTTGGAAAAGCAGCACAGTGGTGATGTCCCTAGAGGGCTCAAATGAGAGAGGCCCTCTCCCCTCCCTCATGCAGGGAAAGCCCAGGGCAGATGAGCTGAGCTCCTCAGGGCCTGGGCACCACAGGGAAGCTCTTGGCACAGCCCTGGGTCAGCTCAGCTCCCAAAGCTGCAGCCACACCAGCAATGGGGTTTTTGCTCCATTCTGGGGGAGTTTTACTCCAGCCCCATGGATCTGAGAAGTGTCCTTGCTGTCCCTGACACAGGCAGACCCCAGGACAGCTCCTGTGACTGTGCTCAGGACACTGCATTTTCCAGGACAAAGCTGCTCCTGCCTGGCTCAGATCCTCCTGTCCTGTCCTGTCCCACCCAGAGCTGCCCCATCTCCAGAGCTCGGGCTGGGAGAGCAGAGCACAGCAGGGATGAGCTCTGTCCCTTTTTATCCCATTCTTTGGGCAGACAGGGCTGTGCTGGGTGACTCATCAGCCTCACTCCAGTCCTTTCATCCATGGGAAAACTGCTTAACAAGAAAATGCTCCTCAAACATATTCTTAGTGCCTTCAGCAGCTCCTGTGGCTGAGATGGAGCCTAAGACACTTCACTGTCACCACTAAGTCATCCAGCCTTGATAATCAGGGATTAGGGACAACCCTGCCTGATCCTAATGCTATCCTGGCACGGTAAGGGCAGGGATTTCCTATCCCTGTGGGGAACAAGAGGTGGAAGGGTTTGAAAACTGCTGGAATTCCTCCCTGCCATTCCCACCCTCCTTTTTAATTGATTAATCAGCCAAAAAAAAGGACTGGAAATTGATGTTGCAAAGAAAACACCTTCGTAACTCCACGAGCAGCTGTGCACGGTGGGATTGAGCAGGACATGGCACAAAATAAATCACACAGAAATCCCATCAAATCTGCCTGTCTGTGAGAGCTACAAGCAAAGCGTTCTGGTGAGGGAAAAGAACCATTTTAGAGTCGTGCAGGGCTTTGGAGACACCCCCAGGGGCTGCACTCACCTGCTGTCTGTGAGGTATCCGTTCTGGCCAGACTGGGAGCAGGAACAGAGATGGGGAGGAAAGAAAAGGGAGACTTAGTAACTCAGAAAGAACAAACCCAGGGGATTCCAAAGGGTGAGGCTGGGACACAGAGTGTGTTGAGGTGTGGTGTTGAGCCTCCTGCACACCAGCTCCCTGTGCATCTCCATCCAGGCCCTTTCCTGATCCCTGTGACCTCTCAAATCTGAGTCCTCAGCTCCCTCCTCCATCAGCTTTGATGGAACCTTTGTTCATATGACAATCAAAGCCAGGCATAGAAAGGGTTTTTTTAATGTCCTAAATGCAGCATTTGGAGCTGATTCCAGCTGGGAGTACTCCCAGAGCAGCCTCTGAGCCAGATGTGAGTGTGGGACACTGCTCCAAGCACAGAGCAGGGATTTCAGGAAGCAATAACCAAGCTGGACACTGCATGAGACAGACAACAAACACCCACCCTCCTGGGAATGCCCAAATTCCTTCTAGGAAGACCTAAATTCCTCCTGGGAATGCCCAAATTCCTGTTAGGAAGGCCTAAATTCCTCCTGGAAAGGCAGAGCCTTGCACTGCTGGGTCAGGAGGTGGAAGCTGCAGCACTGGGAAGAAACTGGGAGATGCAGCTTCTGCTCCCTTTGGGGCAGGAAAAGGTTTTCTCCTCGCCCCAAAAATGCCACTGCATAAACTTATAACCTTTTGGGCAGCAAGGAACAGGACTGCATCCATTCCTCCCTGAAAATTTTAGGGAAGGAGCAGACTGGAGAGTGCAGGTGTGACTCCTCCACCCCAATATCTCAGACATCTTTGTTGGGAGCTGGAATTCACTGGCACATTCCCCAAAATTCTAGGAAATCGGTAGAAAAGGCAATGCCAAGGTCTGACCTCTTGGCATATTCAAGGCCACCTTGTGGCCCAAAGCTCCAGGAGGATCCTGGCAGGTGAGGGATCCAAACTTACCTCTCGTGCAAATATCCGCTCCCTGACCCGCTGATATTCCTCCTCTCGCTCTTCTATGGATTTGCTCCTTCTCCCATCCTGCAAGGGGAGTCTGATCTGAAGGGACAAACACAGCTCAGGGGTCAGCAGTTGCCAGCAGGAGCAGTCAGCTGCTGGGAATTTTGGGGAGGATTTGGATGATGTGGAGTCCGGATCCAGCTCTGCCTTTGGACCTACCTTTGGGACACTTGGGATGAAGCTCCCAGAGGTGCCAGGAGTTCATTCCTGGGCATTCCCAAACAGAACCACCCTGCCTGAGCTCTGCCTGAAATCGGGAATATCACCAACACGCTGGTGCCAGGGGGGAAAAGCTAAAGATCACTTTTTGGAGCATGTGCCAATGCTCTGTTGGATCCCAGAAATTTGGGGTTTTTGAACTTTCTGTGCTTTCTGGCACTGACCACCTGGAGAACACTGCTTTTGACCTGAGGCCTTGGAGAAGCTCCCAAATTTGAGTGATGGAGTTAAAATCACGGGTGTGTAGTTAAATAGAAGTGTGTGATTTCACATGGTGAAGGGTTTTAAATTGGAGGTTTTTATAATATAGTAATAGTATGGGACAAGATGGAGGATTTTGGGTGGTGTCTTTTTTGGTGCTCATCTTCCTTCTTCTTCATGGTTTCACGTTGTAGTTTCTGGTTGGACAGTCAGTGCTGCACTGAGGGTTTCAGGAATTTGATTATTAGGTTAAAAATATAAATAATATAGGTGTTATTTCTCTATTGGACTGTTTAGCTTTAAGAAACCTCAAAGCAGCTGGATCTTGCTCCACTTTGCTCACTTCTAGCTGGTGGATAGAAGTGCTGCTGAATATTTTTTATAAGATTTAATAAACAACCAAGCCCAAACATGAGCAAATCAGTTTCCTTCGTGTATTTTTTAATCCTGGGTCTGAGTGAAAACAGAAGAAACTCCAACCAAACCACTCATTAAGTGCTACAAAAAGCCCCACCACTGTTTCATGCTCCTGCTCCCTCGTGGATTCTGAGCTCTGGGTGAAGCTGCACCCCTGGGTGCCACCACTGGGAAACCAAAAACTGGGATTGGCTGCAGGGACCAGCTTCTCATCCTGACTGGAATTCAGGAACAGTCCCACAGACAGGACAGCACTGGGTTTAAATGGGAAAAAATTCCTCCCCTGTGAAGGTGGGGAGGCCCTGGCACAGGGCAAGCTGTGACTGCCCCATCCCTGGCCTGTGCTCTGGTGTGCTGGGAGCCTCAACCAGGAGCTGCTCACCAAATTAAGTGTGAATTCCAAACTGATCATCTGGAATCAAAACATCAGCCCTGCCCCTAGAGCTCATCAGGAACTGGAGTGCCAGAGGGCAGGGAGAGGTGGGATATTGGGAAGGAATTCCTCCCTGGGAGGGTGGTGAGGACCTGGAATGGAATTCCCAGAGAAGCTGTGGCTGCCCCTGGAAGCAGCCCAGGCCAGGCTGGATGGGGCTTGGAGCAAGCTGGGATGGTGGGAGGTGTCCCTGACCATGGCAGGGGTGGAACTGGATTAGTTTTAAGGTTTTCTCCAACCCAATTCCATGATTTTATGAAGATGGGAGCTGCAAGGCCCTGGGATCCCTGGGGAAAGGCCAGGGAGCTGCAAGCCCCAGGAAGAGAGAGGGAAAAGCAACACTCAGCTGAGGGGTATTCCCAAAAAAACCTTGGGAAAAGCTCCACCTTAAAACCTGGCCTAGGTCCCAGCTGATTTGAGGGTAGGGAGAAGTACAGCCATAGAACCCACAGCAATTCTTCACCCATTTCCATAGGATTTGGAAAAGTTTTCATGAAATTCAGATGCTGCTGCTTGGGTGGGTTGGGAGCTTCTATTAAAATGTTATTTCAGGAAACCCAAGAGAATTTTGGAGTTGTTCTTGTCTTGTGACCATCACACCTGAGTTTCCCAAAGGCTGCAGGTGCCCCCCTGCCCCCCCTCACCTGGTTATCATCCCGGTCCATGCTGGTGTCATCTCGTTTTAGGATAAACCTCTGGGGGAATTCTGCATTCTTCTCATCCTTGATGTGCTCAGAGAATCTCTGCTCGGGGCTGCAAGAAAACCAGCCCTTGTTAGGAGGGAAAAAACACACCCAGAACATGTCAAAATGTTTGTTGTGTGAAATTTCAGCTCTGGGTGACAACAACGAGAGCTCCTGCTCCTTCTCCATGAATTGTGGAGAGGCAAGGAGGGCTGGAAGGAAAAGATTCTTCCCTATTCCTTCATTCCATCATTCTGATTCTTCTAGAGAGGGATCTCCCCTTCTTATGAGGGAAAAAAAAAAAAGTGATGTAGAATCCATCCTGATACAGAGCATTTCTGGGCTGTGGGGAAGGGTAAAGGAAAAAGGGGGAAAAGAAAGGGGGGGAAAAGAAAGGGGGGAAAATAAAGGGGGGGAAAGAAAGGGGGGGAAAGAAAGGGGGGGAAAAGAAAGGGGGGGAAATAAAGGGGGGGAAAGAAAGGGGGGGAAAGAAAGGGGGGGAAAAAGGGGGAAGGGAAAGGAAAGGAACCTTACATTCGTGTGTTACTGGTCTTGTTGATGATCACGGCCTTCCCAGTCTGATCCACGTTGTGATCCATCCCAAAATAAGCAGCGACCCGGTGCAGCAGCATGCGGTGGTACGAGGTCATCTGGGGAAACTTCTTGAACTGATTGCTGGAGATCCAAGGATGTACAAGAGAACAGAGTGCTCAGCACCTCCCTTCTCCCCTGGGAGCCCAGATTCCAAAACTCTCCATTATAAATTTCTGTTTACAAACCTCAAATAAAAGTTTGTGTCTAAACTCTCCATTATAAATCTCTTTTTACAAACCTCAGATAAAAGTTTGTGTCTTTTGCTTGACACAAACTCAATGATCACTTACTTGCTATCACTAATGAACTCCAGAATCTCCTGTTCCAACTTGAGCAGCATCATTCTATCCCTGGCAGGAAAAAAAAGAAAGAAAAAAGCCACTTTAGGGACAGAGGAACAGCCTTCCCTGCTCCCAGCCCCTCTCCTGTCACCTCAGGAGCAGGTGCCACCTGATTTCACATTTTAACAGAATGGGGTAAAAAACTCCCTGCTTTTCAAAGGTACTAAATTAACACCAGATTTTTTCCAGTTTAAGGTTGTTTTGCTAACAGTGCTTGGCTTTGGAGAGCCTGAATTCTCTGCTCTGCTGGAAGCTCCACTGCTGGAGACTCCCACTTTGCTATTCCCCTGCCAGCCTTTCCCTCAATCCCACTGATTATTCCTGCAGCAGCTCCTTTACAGGCTGACACTTGACAAGCATTTATAGAAAAGGGTTTAAAGCAATCAAAATTATTTCTTTGCATTCAAGCAAATTATTTGTTCTTCTCTCTCTCCATCACACACAATTCCATGTTTGGAATTAAATAAGATATAAAATTACAGTTGTGCTTTTAGTTTCTACATCGTCCCAGCTCTGGCAACTCTTGGAATTCCAAAGAGGAAAACACAAAAACATTTGCAGGTCCTGTCTGCAGGTGCTGCAATCCCCCAGGACACAGGAATGCCCACAGACAGGGACACACAGATCCCTCAGGGAGTTGTTTTACTGACCAGGACCTACCTTGGGTTTTTTTTCAGTGTATTTACTAAAAATTCATGCAAATCTATTCCAGTGGAGTCTGTATATTCCTGGCTGGAATCTGAAAAAAAAAAACAACAATGGCAGCAGAAAATATTAATAAAGCACTGAGACAGAGGAAAGGAAAAGGAAAAGGAAAAGGAGGAAAGGAGGAGGAAAGAGGAAAAGGGAAAGAGGAAAGGGAAGTTGTGGCTGCTCCTGGATCCCTGGAAGTGCCCAAGACCAGGTTGCACAGGGCTTGGAGCAGCCTGGGATGGTGGAACTGGATGAACTTTAAGCTCACTTCCCACCCAAACCTGTTATTAGCCCTACAGTCCTGCACAGCAGCAGCAGAGCCAACCAAGCATCTGTGCAACATCTGTCCAACATCTGTCCAACACCTGCCCCAATTCCAGAGCATTCCCAGAGCAGGGGAGCAGCACCTGCCCCGTTCAAACCAGCACCTGACCTCGAGAGAGCATCTTCCTTGGTGTTTTTTCTTTATTCTTGTCCTTTTCTTCTTTCTCCACCCCATCTTTTGTGGATTTCTCCTCTTCCTTGTCAGAGGGACAGCTCACGTGCAGCTGGATGATGTCCTGGGGTGAAACAAAGGAGGTTGGAGCCACTCAGACATTCCCTGAGCCATGGCCATGGCTGGAGATGCCAGTGGCTGAGAAAAGCACCACAGGAATGTCTCACACAGCTCTTGTGGGAATTTTTTGGCTCCCCAAGGCACAGGAGAGCAAGACATGGATCATTTCTAGCAAAACATGGATTTCCTGGGCTTCCACTCTTCCAGATTTGTGTCATTCTGGGCTTACCTGAGACTCCAGTAGCCCATCCACGAAGGGGCCTGAGGATTCCTCACACACAGCCAAACTCCTGACCAGTTTAAGCTTTGAGTTAGACTGAAAAAGGTTAAAAAAAAAAAAAGGGGAATGGTTACAACACCTCAGCCAAAACTCACACTTCAATTCCTGCAGCTGCATTCCCAAGGCACTTGAGCAGCCATTCCCAATTAAAATGTTCAATAAGAGGGACATTCTCCTCAATATATAGAGATATACAATGACATGAAATCCCTGAACAATTAATTATTTTATTCCTTCAGCCTTCGAACCAAATTTCAGGTGGGAAATTCCTTCCTTGATTCTTGCCCTCCCTGACTGAGAGACAGAGCAATTCCAGCTTTTATCCTGTTAGGAGTGCTGGTGCTGCAGGACATGCAAATCCCTGTCCTGAACCATCAGCTGCTGCACGTGGCTTCCAGAGACAGGGAAGGCTCAGGAGCAGCATCAGGGCTCAGGATTGA